CTCTGACCCTTTCACACTCCTAAAATCCCAAAACTCCCCTCTGTCCCCATCTCCCCATTCTGTCCCCAGTGCCCCACACTCTGCCTGATTCCACAATCATTTCGGTGACATCACTGGCTTTCACCTTCCTCCTGTCTGCAGCTGCCTTCTGGACCATCAAGAAAGGTGAGAGCTTTGGGAACTGGGTGGGAAATTCAGGAGGCTGTCACAGCTCTGATGTGGGACTCTGCTCCTTGCAGGTACCTGCGGAGAGAGATGCCATAGGTGAGCACTAAGAGGCTGGGAGGGGATGTTTGAGTGCAGCTAGGACTCTAGGGGGCTCCTTGTGCAGGGCAGCATTATCTGTGGGATATCATAAGAAGGGATTGCCACTGGATTGGAGAAGGAAGCATTTTCTCACAGGATCATTTGCAATAGCACGTGGGTGCATGGAGGATGAGAGATTGCTGTGGGGTTGGATCAAGCACAGTGCCCAGTGCAAGGAGGCATCATTCAGTGAATATCAATCCTGGACACTTCCCAGCAAGCACACCCCAAATCCATTTCCCTTTCCTTCCCAGGCAGCAGCACATTCCCAGCCAGCAGATGGAAGCCACCGACTATGGAGAAATCCAATGTGAGTGCTGGACAAGCCCAGACTGCAGGGATCCCTTTCCCTTGGACTTGCATTTACAATCCCACCAGTTCCTTTCCTGATGGGGCATACAAAACTATTCATCAAGGGACAATTTCTCCATGCTGCTTTCATCCCGGTGCTCATGGTGACAAATCCCACATCCACAGCGTGTTTCACACTTCAGACTCTGCTTTCTTCATTTCTCCTCCCTGTGGTGTTTGTTTGAAGCCCAGCCCAAAGCACAGCCCCACACTGGAGGATGTGGCTGCGTACACAGACAGCAGTGGAGAAATGTTACGTAGATGGCTCAACAAGCACGGACAGCCACAAGGGGAGGATGCTGTGGTTGGGGACAGGGGATGTAAGCCCACCACGCATGCACCTTGCTCTGTTTGCAGCTCCAATTTCATTGCAGAGCAGCAGGCTGAAATTTGCTGCATAAATGTAGAAAATGCCTCAAATGATGGGAAACTGCCCCAAAGCCCATCATCTCTGCTCCTCCAAATCTTCTTGCACAGAGAGGGCAAATGGGATTGGGCAGCCAGTCCAAATCTGCTGCCCAAACCAGTGGTGGGTCTCCCCACTTCCCAAATGAATACTGAGCACTCGTGTGTTTTTTCCCCCACAGATGCCACCATCTCCGACTTTTGAAGGGACAAGGTGAGTTGGGTCCCTTTCCCCAGGAACAAAAGTGAAACATTCCACAGACATAACATTTTTTGTGTCACGCATCTCTTAGTCTTACGTTCTCTTTACTTGCAGAAAAATGGCAAATCATGAGATAGGTTTTCTAGCCACAAATCACACTCTCCTCTCTGACTTCTGCAAACACCTCCCCTTGATATGCAGAACTGCAGCTCCTTGTTCCTGCTGCCAAAGTTGTGTTCTGTGCTTCCTTCTCAGAAGCTCCAGAAATGGTTCCATCTGAAGAGCTGGAAGAATACTTCTGAGTGTTTTAAAGAGTGTGGAGGGGGAATAATGAAGAAGAAAGAGTGTATCTAGCAAGCAAGTTCTGTCTGAAATCTGCTCTTATTTTTCTTTTGTTCTTGCTAACTATCTCCTGCCTGCTTCTCCAGTGTGCATGGATGCTCCTGGTGCACTTGGAGCCTCCTCGTGCAGGGCTTGCAGGCTGTAGCTGCAGTAACAGAGCTTTGCTTTCCCCTCCAGCCTCCTGTGAAGCAGATGACCAACAGCAGAGCTCTATAGGCTGCAGCGTGGCAAGGGCACTGGGACTGGCTCAAAGCCACTGTGTTTCCTTGCAGAGAGCTCCTGGGGTGTAACATGGGGCTCTTTGGGTTTATGGGGTTTGCTCTCAATTTATGTCTGGCCAATAAGATTTATGACTTGCTTATGTATGGACTACTGACAATATCAATAAAATGTCCGAAATGTACCAAACTGGAACAGAAAGATATGTCATTCAAATACACAAACGGTGTGGTACAGCCACAAATGAGCTCTTCTCTCCACCCACACATCTGTGCACACAGCCACAGATCTGTGTGCTGCTTGCTGCATCATCAATGTCACCACGGTTTTGAATCAAAGAAGTCATCAAGTGATGAGCTGTGGTTATGCATTACTGCTGTGGCTTCAGGTGGAAAAAGCTCTGAAGATGCCCAGGCTGGCTGTGTTTTGGTACCCACTGTGAGCCCCGAGCACAAGGATCCTGTCACAGCCCCTGCGGACAGATGGGAGCTCTCAGGGTGCATTCAGAGAGAAGAAGGACACCTGATTCATTCAGTTTGTGGGGGAATCTCGTGCTTTTATTGATAAGTGACACTTCTGCTCTGCTTTCGCAGCTGTTCTTGCAGAGAAAGGCATGGATTGCCTCTCACTTTCTGACATTCTGTCTTATGTACAAACTGCAGAGACCTTCAAAACACAAACAAGGAATTACAGTGGTCCCAAAGCCGCTCAGCATCCCCCCGTGGGGTCAGGGCAGGAGGGGAACTGCAGCCAGAGCACCACCACATCTGGGTTTGCATTTCCCCTCCAAAGCCTTGCCTTCTGTGGGCAAAAAACTGCACGCTCAACTGCAGGCCTCTGCAAGAGCACAACTCACCTTCATTTAATCCTCATTTAATCCACGTTGGCATCTGCAGGGAGATCCCGAATGAGTGCCCAGCCATCAGCAGGGGAGAGACCTTCCCCAGCCACCAGCACAACTGCACCCATGGGCTTCCTATGCCAAAATCATCATCCTTACAGCTTCCAACAGTGGCTCCTGAGGTCTGCCTTGCAGCCCCGAGATAATGCCCTGTGTTAGGTGCCAGGTTTTGCTTCTGCGTTATACTGGTTGGAGGCTGCTCTGCTGGTGTGAATTGTCCCAGTTCTCACCCCAAAAAAAGTGCTCTGAACTGTTGCATTTCCCCTTAAACATTGTCCACTCAGAGCTGAGATTGACAGTGAAACTGTCCTTATTTCATGGCAGTGTCAGTAAAGGGAATGGAGACTTTGCAGCAGGGTGAAGAAAACCAGGCCATATTTGTCAGGGAGGTTTAGAGAGAATCTACCTGGGTGGGACTGGGAGTATATCCTGAGAAATTAACTTTATCTGCTGGGATTGTCATGTGCATATGGAGACAATATTGACATAAAACAGCGCGTATGTGATCATCTCTGCATTGTCCTTGGTGCCTGGAGGGGAAGGGTGCACAGGGACTGGCACTTACAGTAAGAATCGTGGTCAGCAGAAGATTCCTCAGCTCTACCAGCACTATGGAGAGAGCCAGAGAAAGCAGAGAGAAAAGGCACTGAGGTTCCATACGGGGGCCATTGGAGATATTCCCATGGGAACTGCTTTGTTCTCCAACCCCATCACCATCCCTCATCTACACAGGTGAATCCACGGACAAAGCTGACATTGCACAAGGAGCAGCACCCCAGGCTCCCTGATGCCCACAAATCCTGCAGGCCAGCCCCAAACTGCTCACCTTCGGCATATCCTCCTGCAGGCACCTGCAAGAAGAAGCGTCCCACATCAGAGATGTGATGGCCCCATGGTTCCCCCCTACTTCCCACAAGACTTCACCTTTCTTGATGGTCCAGTATGTGCCTGCAGAAAGGAGGAGGGTGAGAGCCACCAGTGCCACCGTAATGACTGTAGGGTCCGGCAGGATTTTGGGATCTGGGAACAGAGTGGAGGGATGGGGACTAGAGAGAGGAGCTTTGGGATTGTTGGAGGGTGGTGCAGCCAGAGGGGAGTGGTGAGGACATGGGAGTGTGATGAGCATGTAGTGATGGGACTGGAGAAAGAGGGAAGGGGAAGATTGGGATGCATGGGGGCAGCAAGAGTAGAGGTGAAAGCCTCACCAGCAGTTGCTGTCCCCTCTGTGGAGCTGGACAAGTTGCCTGTTGGGACAAATGGATGGGCTGAGTATCCCCTGAACTCTCACCTCTGCATGAACACGGCTGCTGAGTGCATTGGTATGGGGCAGAGCATGAAGACATGGGCAGGTGCCCACAGTGTCAGCTCTGTATCCTGGAACACCTGGACTGATGTGGGTTCTTCTGGATATCAATTATTTAAACTATGGTGGATTAAGAAATGCATGGCAGAGCTACTGTGCATTGTATGACACTACAGCACAACCTCTTCCTTCATTGAATTTGGGGATATTAAAGGGCTAGTACATTGCTCTGCCTAGATGGTATGGCAGCATCACATTTACAAGACTGCATCCTGTGTTTCCCATCCTGCCGTCATCTCAAGGCTCTTTTTGGTGGCTTTGTTGCAGGTGGGGGCACCCAGATCCCAAAGCACACCAACATCTGGCCATCCCCACACTGTGACCACACAATCATCATGTTGCTGAGTAGAATCTCACACAGTAAGGAACAATCTCACTCCTGGAAATCACCCCAATTTCCCTTCCTTATGCTTATAAAGATATTGCAGTAATCCTTGAAGCATCCTTACCCAGGCTTTAAAGGCTCCATGACCATCCCCTATCTTTGCTTCCTGTGCCTGTGCACTGCAAAACTCCATTTCTGCAGCGTGGGATGGAGAAGGGAAACCTTCCAGAGCCATCACCTCTCTATAGCATCTCTTGCTGCACATGGAACATCCATGTGGTGTTATGTCTAACCGTACCCTGCATCCCCACCACCCTGGTGTCATTTCCCACCTGTGACATGCAGGTCCCATGGAGGACTGAGGGCAGAACTCAGCCAGCTTTTCCCACTCCTCTGCTGGTACAAACATGCATATGTCCCACTGCTTCTCACAGAGATGTTCATCTGAATGGAGTAGATGACCATGTCCTCTTGGGCTTTCATGCTGCGCACCTCCAACCCATCCTTGCAGAAGACAAATCGGGTAGCAGGAACCATCTTCTGAAGAGCACATTGAAATAGAACGACTTCCCCTTCCTCAGCTCTGCAAGTGTTAAGGAACAGGACTGGGGCCTGGAGAGTACCTGAAGAAATGGCACAGGCATTCAATCACCAGAGTCAATATTTGAAAAACACATTCTATGCCAAGGCACAGACAATCTGCTCTCGAGGGATGGATATTGGGAATTCATGGGGAAGAATGATGACTTTCTCTCTTCCCATCTCCTCCCCCACGATGTTTTCATTTTCTGGACCCATTCTCACACTCACCACCAGCCCTGGAGCTGCAGATGTCCTGGGTGCTCACACCAGTACCTGCACCATGGGACAGAGAAGGTTTTGTTTGGAGGGACAATGTCCTGCTCACCCACATCTACCTGCCCATGTCCCCACTGCAGAATAGGCACCATCCAACCTGCACGCCCTCGTGCTGTTCCTCTTCTGTGTTTCTGAGCAAGATCAGATCCATTTGTGATGCATGTGCTGCTTCAAGTACAGTTCCCTATCTTTCTAAAGCACACAGCATTCCTAACTTACGTATTTTTGAAACGTCTCCATCCTGCACCCACTCTACCACTGCACTCAGCACCCTCCCAAGCCTCGTCCTGGTGGATTTCCTGCTCTAGGCAGGGTTTCCTGCTCCCCACACCATCCCCAGCTCACCGACCACCAGCATCAGGAGTGCAGGGACGCGAGGACACGGCGTGGCCCATCCCGCCTGCCCCCACATCGTTTGGAGATCTCTGCTCACGGCGCCTGCTTTGCTGTGAGCAGGATGCAGATGGTCACAGGTCTGCGCACTGACCTTATCACCTGTCCTGTGGTATTTCTGCAGCCGACAGAGAGTTACCCACAGCGAGAGACTGTGATGCAGCCCATGATGCATCTGTTGTTTCTGTAGAGCCTCAGATTTTATTTGGGACGTCAGACACCTCAACATGGTCTGCGTTTCCTGTTTCTTGAAGGGAGAAAACTTCTCCTTCTCCCTCTTTTTTCCACATCTTCTTGCAGATCATGGCCTCATTTTGCATCCAGAGTCTCTTTGGGTCAGCTCACCTCCTTGCTCTGTCTTCTTCCAACCTCCTGACCATCTCCAGTCTATCACAGAGTCATAAAAGAGAATGGTTTGATTTGGAAGGGACTTAAAGATAATACAGTTAACCACAGAATCCTATGGCCCCATCCAACCCATCCTTGAGCACCTCCAGAGATGAGGCATGCACTGCTTCTCTGGGCAGCCTGTGCCAGTGCCTCAACAACCTCTGAATCACTAATATCCTCCTGATAACTAACCTTAATCACTCTGCCTTTAGTGGAAACCTTTCTCTTTATCCTATCACTATCAAGTTGTGCAATCAGTTGCTGTTCATCTGTTTACAAGCTCCCTTTAAATACAGCCTCCCCATGTCAGGCGGGATTTCTCTTTTGTACTTTCCCCATCTTGCCTCTGTGCCCTTGCTCCTTTGACTCCATTCTCAGCCCCAACTTACTCTTTAGGCAGTATCTCAGTAGTGAGAAGCCCAGGAGAAACCCAATGCCTTCAGTGCTGCTATACTCTCCTCAACATCTTCAGAGCTTCACCAGCTGAATGATTGTTTGCACTCAGTATTACAGTTGCTGTCACTACAAGCAGTTATCCCTTCATTTGCAGTCTGTGCAGGAAAATGAATCTGTGCCTCTCCCCACACCTCTGTTGGAAACTCAGCCACTGGGAGCTCTGGCCCTGCATCAGCCCGTGGAGATGATCAACAGAGGGTCAGACACAATCTGTAGACCCACAGAACGTTGCCATGTGCTGAGAACTCACTCTGTGGTGAGCGACGAACCTCCTGCACGCTCAGAATCAGCCTGTGCTATTTTTGTATCCCTCTTTCTTAGTACTCTTATTTAGTGAACCTGCCTACCTAACCTGCAAGACATACAGTTTCACACAGTGCCTAGAATTCTCGGTTTCTGAGTCTTTTCAGTCTCCTGGATGGACTCTGCAGCTTGTGTCAATTTTTGATCAATCAGTAGAACATAAAATTGCAACACAGACTTTACATAAACGGATGTGAGTCACTTGCTCAGTGCAAAGATGCTGCTGGAGATGATGGTGCCCGTGAACAGCACGGTGACATGGGATGGAGATGGTTGGTTATAATAACGGTCCTGCCAGGGGGGAGGAGTATCATATACATATATATCAGAGTCACACCTGCCCCAAATTGTGGGACCTCCGGGCACCTTTCATGGTTTCGTCTCCAATACCTTCTTGTATGATCTCTGAGCAATGATCCAGTGGTTGGGTATGCATTAGGAAACAAGAAGCAATTTATTTCACAGACAGTAGCAAAGATTTTTTTAAACATCTGCCTACTTCTTTACCTTTGTGTACATTGGCTTTTCAACTTATGCATCACGCAGTGGAAACATTCCATCTATCCGAGATACATTCGTGCAATATAGCTTCTTCACTCACCTACCTCAGCTCAGGTCACAGAGGTTACTTATTTTTCCTCATTAGACACAGGAGGGCTTGAGTGTGATAAGCCCTGATGCACACATCTGTGAATATACAGGGCTTCTCTGGCCATGTGTGGACAAATTTCAATGTCATTTTGAGGAATTGGAGATCCGCATAGAAATCGTGCAACTGCCATGAGATTGTCCAAGAGATGAGGAAACCTGAAAACTATATGGGGCCTTTTACAAACAAACACACAGCTTTCAAAGTGTTCCCAAAGAATGGGACCCCTGGGAGGTGTGCAGCCCACTGCTGGGTTTGCTTTCATTTTCACTTCTGTTCCGCTGTTTAATCAGACAATGACGTGGTGACAGAACAAAGCCAGTCTGTGACACAGAGGCACAGAAGATTTCCTTAGTTTTCCCGGTTGAATCCGATGTACTTCTCTCTGAATGCACCCTGAGAGTGACATTCTGTGCACAGGAGCTGTGACAGAATCCTTGTGCTTGAGGCTCACGGTGGGTACCAAAACACAGCCAGCCTGGCATCTTCAGAGCTTCTTCCACCTGAAGCCACAGCAGTAATGCATAACCACAGCTCATCACCTGATGATTTCTTTGATTCAAAACCGTGGTGAGATTGATGATGTAACGAAGTGCAGTTTGTGTATTTGCATGACATATCTTTCTGTTCCAATTTGGTGTCTCTCTGATATTTTATTGATATTGTAGGCGTTATGTACATAAGCAAGTCATAAATCTTATTTTGCTAGACGTAACATGAGAGGAAACCCCATAAACACAAAGAGCCCCACATTACACCCCAGCAGCCCTCTGCAAGGAAACACAGTGGCTGCAACACAGGCCCAGTGCCCTTGCCACACTGCAGCCTGTAGAGCTCTGCTGTTGGTCATCTGCTTCACAGGGGGCTGGAGGGGAAAGGAAAGCCCACTGATTGCAGCTACAGCCTGCAAGCCCTGCACGAGGAGACTTCAGGTGCACCAGAAGGAGCCATGCACACTGGAGAAGCAGGCAGGAGACAGTTTGCAAAAATAAGAGCAGATGTGGGGCAGCACTTGCTTGCTAGATTGCCTCTTTCCTCTTCAGAATTGTTGGCGAGATTTTCTCCTTCCGCTTTCTTTAAAATATTCAGAAATGTTCTTCCAGCTCCTTAAATAGAACCACTTCTGGAGCTTCTGAGAAGGAACCACGCAATTTTGGCAGCAGCAACAAGGGGCTGCAGTTCTGCACATCAAGGGGAGGTGTTTGCAGAAGTCAGAGAGGAGAGTGTGATCTGTGGCTAGAAAATGTATCTCATGATTTCCCATTTTTCTGCAAGCAAAGAGAACGTAAGACAAGGAGATGCATGAGAAGGTGTACAAACAATAACATCACATGTCTGGGGAACATATCACTTCAATTCCAGTGGGAAGGGCCCCAACTCACCTTGTCTCTTTGAAAGTGGACAATGCTGGCATCTGTGCGGGAAAAAAAACACACCATGAATGCTCAGTACCAATGGGAATATGGGAAGGGGGGCAATATGGGAAGGGGGGAGAACCACCACTTGTTTGGGCAGCAGATCCTGGGTTCTGATCTGACTACCCAACCCCATTCTTCCTGTCTGTGCAGGAAGATATGGAGGAGCAGAGATGATGGGCTTTGGGGCATTTTCCCGTTGTTGGAGGCATTTTCTCTCTTTACATGGCACATCTCAGCCTGCTGCTCTGCAGCAAAATTTGAGCTGCAAACAGAGCAAGGCGCATGTGTGGTGGGGTTACATCCCCTGTCCCCAACCACAGCATCCTCCCTTTGCTGCTGCCTGCACTTGCACAGCCATCTCTGAGATATTTCCCCACCACTGTCTGTGTACGCAGCCACATCCTCCAGTGCAGGGCTGAGCTTTGGGCTGGACTTGAAACAAACACCACAGGGAGGAGAAATGAAGAAGGGAGAACAGCAGAGTCTGAAGTGAGAGATCCACCATGCACGTGGGATTTGTCACCACAAGCACCGGGACGAAAGCAGCATGGAGAAATTGTCCCTTGATGAATAGTTTTGTATGCCCCATCAGGAAAGGAACCGGTGGGATGGCAAATGGGAGTTCATGGGAAGGGGATGCCCATGGAAAAGGGGTGCCCAGCACTCACACTGGATTTCTCCGTAGTCGGTGTTTTCCATCTGCTGGCTGGGAACATGCTGCTGCCTGGGGAGGACAGGGAAATGGATTTGGGGTGTGTGTTTGCTGGGGAGGGGCCAGAACTGATATTCACTGAATGATGCCTCCTTGCATTGGGCACTGCGTTCGATCCAACCCCATGGCAATCTCTTGTCCACAAGGTGCCCAGGTTCTGTTGGAAATATTCCCATGAGGAAACACTCTCTTCCCCATGAAAACTCCAGGAAAATCCCTTATCCTATCTTGGGGAACCCACAGACCATGCTGCCCTGCACAGAGTCTCAGCTGTACCTAAATCCCCCAGTCCTGACCAGACCATTCCTGCTCACCTTCGGCATCTCTCCCTGCAGGCACCTGCAA